TGTCAGAAACTTTGATATAGAAATATAACCAGTACCAGCTTCCTTTTGCCTTTAGAAAGATGAATAAATTGGTCTATAAAAATAGGAAATGTACAAAAACCAAAAATTAGTCAATCATCCTAAATACATACTCAGTTTTGTAACTTAAGCCAAAAATACCACTAGCAACAAAAAAAGTAATGAAATATTTAAACTTCATTATTTACACTTAGCATAATACCTAATTAAAGATAACTAATGATATAACATAACATGGCTTGAAATTTATAATGTGAAGTAGAAAATATTATCTATAAATGCTTACAAATATTTTGTTACTGAGTCACGTTTGTATAAAAAATTATTTTACTTTCATCATGAAGTTCCTTGGCAGGCTTTAAACTTTATATTCCACTTCACCTCCAAACAAAACTTATGACTTATTTTCTATTAATTTAATTTAGGCTTGATTATTTCTACAATAATATAAATATATTTATCTAGGACTGAAGTCAAACTATAAATTTTCTCACATTGAACTTCATGATGTACCCATTAAAAGTGCGCATGAATTACTTAACAACTACTTGAAACATGAATGGTTCAAAAGCAAAAGGTCACTGATTTGGACATGACACAATTAACGGGAAAAAAAATTTAAAAATAAAAAAAAAAAAACAGTGAAAACAAAAGGAGCCAGCAATCTCTGATATGAAACCCATTCTTAAGAATGTAATAGTCTTACCCCAGGTATAAAGGTAAATACATTGTATTTTTGATTTTTTATAGAATTTCTGGGATGCTTTTCTTCACACTTTTCAGGATATCCAAGCCACACTGTGCGAGCTTTCAGTTCTCTCTTTCTTTGACAAATATTTATCAGCCAATCACAGCAACTGCATGAAACAAAAGACACTCGTTATATACGCTTTTTAAAAAAATTTTTAAATTAATGCTACATATTTAGAGCCAATACTGATTGTTTCTGTATTTACCAGACCCTGAAAGCATATCTAATGTTAATCTGTAAAGGTTATCTTCAAATAGGTTATACTGAAATAACTTTTGACTGAAAGAGACTTGTATGAGTGCATAATGACTTCTAGAACCTCAGGGAAATGATCTTCCCTGTTTAGACCCTCTTACTGACAAAACCATTAAGTTTCTGAAGCAATCAATGCTCTTCTATGAGGAGAAAAGGAGAGCCGTATCGTTTGCAATTCTCAATACACCGCTCAGTGATCCGATGACAAAGGTCCTCAGACATCAACTCTCTCAGGTAATCACTCTTTTCCTCTCTTAAAGAGGACTATTTTAGTAGCATTCATATAAAATTAAGACTTACGGCTCCATTCAATATTGGGAAAGAACACTGATGTTTAAGGGGATAGGGCTAAAGCTATCTTCCAGTCCGTCCATGTGCCGTAGTGTCAGGACTCCAGCAGCACAAACACTTCCACTTCCTGGACATGCAAACCATTATGTTTGGATAGAGAGAATAAACTTTTCTCAAAATACTTAAGAAAATGGTGAAAAGGTATCAAAATCGCCTAAACTAAGCATAAAATAATAATCGTGAATTTAAACTTCAGCATGAACAATCTGGCTTTGCTCAAATCTCCAAACTGCAGAAGGAGACCTAGAATGGCTTATGAAGGCAGGTTGTTGAACTGTATCTTCTAGGTGTAGTCTGGGCTACAACAGCAAGCCAGCAGCAAAAGGCAGAAGCTCTGAACTCCACTCTGTGACAGACTCAGCTGAAAAATTAACATGAAATTTTGGGTGACAATGTCAGTCTCAGGAGGTGTGATTATAAAATGAAGTTGGCATGTCAGGACTTCCATCTTGAAATCACTGCATGTCTCCCACGGCAGGTGGGGAGGGCGCACTAGCCCTTTACTCCAATCACACTGACATCAATCTTCAGAAGTCGCCTTACTTTGGATAGCACCCACGGTGGCATCCTATAAACTGAAATCGGTGCATCTCTACTGAATCTCTGCCTATTTCTTAGCTGTGCACAGAAAATCTTCAGTCCGGAAGGACAGGAGTCTGCCCTCCAGGTGTGGGCATCCACCTCTCACCCGCCTGCAGGACCGGGAGCACTGCTACCTTGAGGAGCTCTCTTGTGATGGCAATCCTGAGTGCCAGGGGCACAGCCAAGCAGGTCAGTTCTAAACCACCCCCCTAGGACCCATCCCACTTCAACTTTTAAGAACAGATAGCATCCTCCACACATAAAGGATACTTTTAAATCCCAGCAGTTACAAACCAGGATATTATTAAAGCGATTTAAGATTGCCACAGTACGTATTCCCGCCTTTACTGCCTGTTGTTGGCGGCCGGCGGGGGGGGGGGAGGGTTAAGTAGATTTCAGTAAAATATTAGGGATATGTGATCTTGCTCATGCTTGAATGAAACAAAAACTTAAGTAAGGCTTCAAATACAATATAATCTGCTTCAAATTACTATTTCTCACCTCCTGTTGCTTTTACCACGTGGCCTGCACCAAGGTAAGGCTTCTAGCGAGGCTTCTTCCCCTCCAGCACGACTCACCTTGCCACTGGCAAACCTCACGGCTCCACACCCACCCCTCCCCGCAGCACCAGCCCACACAGCCCAGAGCTCCAGGGGCTCCTTCCCCAGTTCTTCCCGGCAGGAGCTCTGAATCGCCAACCTCTTCTCTAGTTGCATACAACATGTTCTCCTGAGGCGCGAAAACCTCAGGTCCTGTTGCACAAGACAGACACACCATGCGAGCTAGGAGGGGCTCTCCATACTCAGGATTTAATCAGTCCGACACCCGCGGCGACACCACAGCGATGTGAGACTCACACATTTTACACAGGAGGGAACGGGAGGCCGGAAAGGTAAATGATTTCTCTAAGACGAGACAACCAGGCGGTGGCAGAGCTGAGAGCAGAGCCCGACTGTG